TCAAGGAGGAAACTAAGATTGCAAGTATTTTTTTCTGTTAAATTATAATTAGGAATGCATAATAAGGAATATTCCAGAAGGTGCTTCATCCTGATGGCCAACATAAGTTAAGATAATTTCCTTCCTCTGCTCAGCTGGCATGTAGTGGGTAACAGGGCTGTGCAAAACACCATCGTTTCATTTCAACATCCATTTCACCATTTTGAAGGGACAGTGTCTTGTTTTGTTATTTTGTTTCATTTCAAAGCACTGCCCTGTTTCGCTTCATCAAAACGGTTTCACTGTTTCAACTTGTTTTGATGTTTTGCCCATAGGCTATAATGGGGAATCAAAAAAATGCCTAAAACGTTGTCATTTGCTGCCAGAGTTGGATGGAAATTGCAGGGATGGTAGCCCCTTATGAGAGCATGAAGCCTGCCAAGGTCCAAGGAGATAGATGCAGGGGCTTCTTGGAAATTGTACCTCAAAGCCTTGAATGCAAAATTTGCTGGCAGAAGCAGCCTTCTGTCATTCGGCACGCAGAAGGCTGTGGGGCTATGCTAGACTCCTCCTGGGGGTGCAGGCCCCTGTATCTGCACTGGATGACAGGAGGCTGGTGCTGCTGCCTGGGACCAGAACTGGACAAAGCCTGCACCCGGCGCTGGGGAAGACAGGTGCTGCTGCTGGCCCCTGGCAGCAGCGGCCGCCTCCTGTCATCTGGGTGCAGATCCAGGGACTTGCAACCCCAGGAGGGCTGTGGGGCTGCGCCAGACTCCTCTGGGGCTGCGGCCCCCTGGGTCTGCACCCAAATGACAGGAGGCTGCCACTGCTGTCTGGGAGCCAGTGCTGGGTGCAGCCCACACCCAGTACTGGGCTCCATGGAGCTCAACCTGGCAGTGGGAAGTGGAGTGCAACCCCAGCTATGTCCACCTCTCACCACCAGGCTGTGCTCCAATTGGCTGCATCAGTCCTATGGAGCTCAGGCCAGCGGTGAGAGGTGGAGTGTACCGCCAGCTCTGCCTGCATCCCAACACCAGGCTGTGCTCTGTGGGGCTGGTGGAGCTTACTGGAACACAGTGCCGGCTCTGCCCACCTCCCGCCATCGGGCTGCACTCTCGAGGTGGGCTGAGTTCCACAGCACTTCTTTGCCACTTACCCAACTTCTGAAGACCTGAAGAATAGAAGCTGGATTCTTTGAACAAACCTGTTGTCTGGGCATTGAGTCCAAGGCTCAATGGGCCATACTTCCAAGATAATTCCAGTCTTAAAGAGATTTCTCAACATCTCAACAGCTATTGTTTCATTTTTATGCTAAGTAACACATTTCTGAACCTCTCTGGGTCTCATAGTTGATGTGTAGAGATGAAATACTAGAGTAGATGTAACCTTTGCAACACCATCCGTGTGATTGTAGGGGATACCATTAAGGCCTTTCCCATCAAGGAGGTTTGGGTGCTTATACATGTGCTCTGGTGCATTCTAATTAAAATACTGTATCTAGCATTGCCGCAGCATAATGTATATAAGCCCCTGCAGATGTAAAAATGGCCACTGGGGTGCTTAAACTAAAACTTGTTGAATGAATTTTAGTTAAAGCATCCCACAGCCATTTTTAAATGCACAGGGGGCTTGATATACATGACGGCTGCAGTGCTTTAATTAGAGTGGCTCTCCAGAAACTGGTCTAATTAAAATGCCCTCTCCGCTTCCCCCCAAAGCATGTTTATAGGGAGACTTTGTTCTTTGTTCCACCAGATCAAATGCAAATTCCTTCCATCACCCAAGAAAAACATACTGTCCTCAGTATGCTTGAGCCCCAGATGGTCAGTCTGGTTATGAGGTTACTGGTTTTTCTCAGCAGAAATGACAAAATTACCTAAGGACTTCAACATCTGGCATGCAACTTGCTCTTTTCCCCAAATAAATCAGAGCATTTATAGTTTCTTTTAAACTAAGAGAATATTTGATACTAACAGTGTTGCATGGATTTAATGATTAAACATGACTAGTGTCAAAATGAGCTTGTTCTGTTATTCCAGGACAGATATTTCAAAGTTCTCCAAGTTGTTCAAGCACTCCAAATGTGTGGGTAATGTGTGACTGAGTAAACTTATTCATGCACAATTTGCCCTTGTTTTAGCAATGCACTTGCTAGAGCTAGCTCAACAGAAGCTAACACCTGCATTGTTCTCTCTGAAATGCTGACCAGCTGTAGGTGTAGTTACTGATAAAAAATGCATATTTTCTCCAACTAGAACTTCCTGTTTATTGTGTTTGATTCATTTACCTGAATTTTAGTTTATTTATGTGTTATTTATTTAATGACCTGCCACCTCAAGTTAAGCTCTGACAGAAACCAAAGCTCCTTCCAGGTACACCAACCAGGATTCTTCCATTCACAAGTATTGACACTGCACTGATGTTAGATCCTTATGGAAGTGATTGAAAATATATTGCCTTTCATTGCATGAATTAAATGGCATTCTATGATAGGTTGCTTAGAAAAAGAGAAACAACTACAAACAAACAAAGTATCTGGCCAGGTCCTCACCTGGAAAAATGATCAGCTGTGGCATTATTGGTGTCACGAAGTTGAAGTACTTTTTATTTTCTAGTACGTTTTTGCTGTGTGAGGATACTGTAACATAGCCTCTATAGCAAATAAGCTTTTGAATAAGCCAACAGGATTACACCAAAAATAGCTTCTAAAGGTTGCTATGAATGAGCTGAGACTATGCGCTTTAAATCTCATAGACCATTTATCTCTTGCGCATATGCAAACTCAATGTGTTCTCTGCTTCCATGTTATATAACCACTCAGCATAAAACCATGCCAAAACATTGTTAACTAATCTTACTGCTAAGAAGCAATTTGGAGGGAAGTTAGTGATTAACTACTTGTCACTGATGACAGTCTGCATCATATAAAATATTCCACAGAAGCTGTGGCTCCATTTTGAAATGTTGGTCAGTTCTGAGCCCTTAAACAAATCCTCAGAAAGGCCCTAAATGGTATAAAAAGTCTTGGCCCTCTGCTCACAAAGTGAATTTCACCAAAACAGCATAACTCCATCCTTTTGCTGCGATACAATTAGGCCATTCCTAAAGAAAATCAAAGAAATCTCTTAAGTCTGGCAAAATTTTTACAGTCCCACCAATGCATACAGTTTATATTGAACTGTCATTCCTAGTAATACAAAAGATATGGAAACCATCCACATAGATACTATTACTACTAATAATAACAATAAGCTCAGTCCTGAGCTCCATAAAGATATGTCTAAAAGAAGGATCACAGGACAGTAATCACAGTAATAATATTTCATACATCTACATTTTCTATTCAATGCTCTCAAAGTGCTGTTCTTTCACTGATTAATTCAACCTTGCAACATCCCAGTGAAGTAAGGCAATACACTTATCTCCATGTTACAGTGGTAGTCTGCAGCACAAAGCGATTCTCCTTAATAATTAAGAGTTTATTTTATTAATATTTTGCCAAAATTTCCCTAGTCACTTCTGAGGACATAGAAAAGACAGTTCCTGCCCAAAAGACCTTACAGTCTAAAGAGGCAGTGCAATGGATGTAGGAATAGATGCATACAGATAGAGACAACAAGAGGCACATATCTTGCAAGATCTGTGGGGCGGTTTTATTTTCTTGTTTCGTTGCATTTTTCTTGGTGTCAGGCATTTTCCTTCTTGCTACCTGTCATTCTACCTGGTCTATATGGTGAGCCCTTCCCATACCCTACTCAACCCAACAGTGTCCATACTGAATGTAAAAGGCCTAAAAGGAAAGAGGCTTTAAATGAAAGTGTTCATTATGACTTGAGATTCAAAAGTGAGGCTGGCACTCTGGAGGACAGAGGTTCTTTGCAGCTGGATGTTGGAGTCCTTGCCATGCCTGTCATTATCTACCAAGGCAAGTACAAATTTGAATTACACTGTGAACCCCTAACACTTGATTAATAATTTAAATATTGTTTAAAAATAACAAATGCAAAACACTGACAATGGCCTGATGTGCAATTTTATTTTCCACTGGTGTGGTACATGAATGTCAAAGCACAGTATATGGAAGGTAGAAGGTAGATGAAGACGTGTAAACCTCGTACATCACCTCAGCATACTCACATCCTCTTTAATACATACATTTCTCTCTCCTCTGCTTTGGCTTGGAACCTGTTCCACTGAGGTCAATGGCAGTTTTAGCATTCATTTCACTTAGAGCAGGACTTGGTCTTTAATGTCAGTTTCTGCCGTGAGCTATATATGAGTGTCTCCTGTTAAAATAATCCAAAGACAATAAAGGGCTGAATACTACAAGGTACCCTCAATTCCTATTCGCTTCCATGAGACATTCACCAATTTGAAAGGCACCTCAGCTGGGATCATTTTGATCACTTCTTACATAGCACAAGTCATAAAATAGTATCCAGCAATGCCAGCCTCAAGCCTAATAATGGCTGAAGTAGAATGTATATCTACAGTAGTAGTAGAAAAATGTCTAGTCATGATTTGCAGAGTCCAATTGATGTCAAATTTACCACACTTCCTTGTAATCAGTTCTATTTTCATTAGCTCAGCACTCATGGATTTAGTGAGAGTTGGGTATTTATCTGCACTTTGTGCCTCTGAAAGGCTCTTCTTAGCTTCCTCTGTCAAACTTTGAGGACCTTAATTTCTAGCTGTTAGATTGTGTACCTTTGCTGGCTAGATTAAAGAGCTGTCTAGTACCAGATCTCTTCTCCCTCTTTGGTATACATAAGCCTCTGGCCCAGTCATCTCATAACCTTCGCTTTCAGAAGGTAAGAAAGCTCTCCACACACTTCAGGATCAGGCATATGGCCTGAAACTTTTTTCCAGTAAGTAAAACTCCTGTGTATTAACCCCTATTCAAGCAAAAGGCATGCTGTGTTTCAGCATATGACTGTCAGTTTCCAGAGAAACATTCACATCTCACTGAGGAGCAGCCCCAGTGAGAACTGACAGTGATTAATGCTCTGTCACACAACACAGAAGATCAACGTGGTTCACATTTATTCTAGGGTAGGAAAACAATGAACAAATCATAATGACGTATTTGAATAATCTCTAATATCAAAACATGGGGTATAAATCAGGCTTCAGTCCCATTCCATGGTCAACTTTGGACAGTATTTCATGGCCTTCTGAGCTGCTTTGCCCAGAAACAGTAACTCTGCATTGTGGCCAAACAATGTGTAATGTTTGATTACGTGCATCTGTGTACATGTGTTATCAAAGAAAACTTCCTTCCTATAGTGAAAGGATGCATTCTGCTGCTCTTGATGGTTGATGTTCAGCTCTAGTGACAAGATGAAGGAGGTGTACAGTCTTTAAAAGAAGCCAAATGTACAAGATAACATTTCATAGAGGTGTGAACCGTTCGTCATCAGCTGCATAGCCTCCGTTAATCTGGCCAGTTTTTAAATTCAGCATATCACAGGGCATCCCATTTTCTATTGTTACAGTTGCTTCACATTTCTCTTCTAAATTTTCTGTCTCTGCAGGCTCCTTATTATTTCTACAAAAGAATAACATAAAATTACAATACAGCATTAGAATACACTGCACAACCAAGAGCTATATGTGAGTGGCTCATACATAAAGGAAAATAGATTAATTTTCCCATTATTTAAGAAGTTCACAATACTTAATATACACTAAAATAGTCTAATGCCTGAAAACAGCACTTGGAGCCAGGAACTCCTGAGTACATTCTAATATAGCTTTTACATGGAGGCCCATATGTTGACTCACTTTAACCACTATACCTCAATGTCCTGCTTTGCAAAATGATCTGGAGACAGTGTAAATTAAAAAAGGAAATATAAGAATGAGATATAAATTAATAGATGTAATCAATTTTAAAGTGATAAATGACCATTATGATTATTTGTCTAACTTCCTTTATAATACAGGTCATGGATTTTACGCAGTGGTTCGTGCATTCAGCGACTTGTGGTACAATAAAAACCTATCTTTTATAGAGTGGTGGAGGGATGTTGTTGCTGTGATGGTCCAGGAATTATTCAAGAGGCAAGCATGTGAGTTTTCCATTGTATGCAGCAGATTTCAATATCACCCACAAAAATCCTTGCTGCTCACATATCTTTTATAAAATAATCTAGTTTTGGCTGAGGGCATGTCTATACTGCATCCTCACTGCTGCCAGGGACACACATTCCCATTCACACCCCACCTACCCACACTCAGATGTCCATGCCAAACCCAGAAATGTGCCAATGAGGCCACTCCAGGGATGTCTCTCTTTGGCTGCTTTCAGGACCTTGGTATCTAGCATGCTTGAGAGCAACTGCCAGGGGAGTCCTTGGAATGGCGTAACCACCACATATCTGGGTCTGCTGCACTCAAGTGGGAGTGGGTGGCATGCACCCCTGGTAGCAGTGGAGACATGGCACAGATTTAAATTAAATGACTCTGCCTAGTGGAGAATGAATGCATCCTGCACCTTGGTTTTCTGTCCTGCACCTTGGTTAGCTGTGCTCACTATTATGAACATGCACAAGTGACCGGATCCTACTAAGCCTGTGTCTACTAGCTTAAATAATAGTGTGGCTTTTGTACTATCTAAGAACCTGGACATGTGACATATTTACACCAATATTACTGATATTACACAAGTGTACAGAAAGACTGGATACAGCATGTACAACCTTACACAGATATACTTAAAGCCTATCTAGAATTACCCCAGGAAAATACAGGTGTTAAATTACAATGGTGGAACTTACACTGGTGATAAGCCACATGTTTGCAGCTTAGCCTGGCAAGGTTCTTTGGGTAGATGTGATATCTTTTATTAGACCAACTAAATAGTTGGAAAAAATTCTTTGCAAAATCCTTAGACCTACACAGCTACAACCAACAACCCTGAAGCTTAGCCTAGAACAAACTGACTCCCTTCAGATGCCTACTACATGCAGCTAGCCCAGAATAGCTGCATGTCTGTCCACTCCAGAGTCCAGTAAAATTTATATCCATGTACAAAACCAATGTAATTTACCCTGGTGTAAATGAGTTGCAGCCATGCCCTAAATTGAAATCATTCATACTAAAGGAGCCACTGAATAAACTGATCTAAACTGCTAAATGATTAAGAAATTTAGTTTAGAACCATCAGGCAATGATATCCTTATCATTCTTTTGATTTATTTTTGACCTTGAGATCCACTGTTTCATAATCAAAAAGCCTGCTGTACTTTACAGCTTGCAGCATCAGCAATTTTGGAGGATAAGAAACTCAAAGATCAGCTATAGTACTTCTTCCATTCCCACAACACATACTGTAATAGCCTGACTCAGTGCTTAAACATTCATGATATTAACCATAATAAACTTTTACTGGCCTTTGGGAGATATATAGCCTTACAGAACTGCCAAAAATAAATGTGTGTTATCTATGAACTCTTCTTTCCTCTGACTGTGACATGCTTTAAAGAGAAGAGGAAAGCATGACTCTTCATAGTCACAGCCTCTGAGGATATCTCTCCTCTCTTGGAAATTTGCCAATTCTGCTAGAGAAAAAAAAGCTGTCTTACTGCTATAGTGATAGGGTAGCATCCAGACAAGAAAACAGACTTGTCAAATGCTAGAGAGACTCTGCTTGGTACCAGATTCACCTAGCACTCAGTGAAGCCAATGACCACAATCCCACTGATTGCAGTGGAACACAATTCAGCCTAAAGGTAACACCAGCAGCAGGTCCAGGGGGAGTGCAGTGTTGCAGTTGCACTCCCCAGCTGGCTGTGCTGCGAGCTTTCTGAGCTTACCAGCATAACTCCTGTCAGAGCTCCACATTGCCATGAGCTCTGAATTTATTGGCTGGTCATTGTAGGTCTTCCATGCAGCTCTGGAGCCCATGGAGTAAGTATCACAGCTGTTTACCCTTCTTCTCCCCACCTCTCCACCCTGATAAATTCAGTGGTAGGGGAAAGAGGGGAGGAGCCACAGCTTCGCTGACCACAAGAGCCTCCTTCATCTACCGTTTGTTTGGTTTAAACAGTACTTGGATTGCATGGAAAAGAAGCATACAAGTCTTTTGAATCCATGAATCAGTCTCATAAGTGGGAATGTACATGTATGTGTAAGTATTTTCTATTGTGCACTTGTCAGTCTCCAAGCTACCTAGTTGTCAGCATGTCTGTACCCCCAATCCCTCTTCTGTTCCTGTGTGATCCTATAGTGAAACCAAGATGTTTGTAACGAAGTTCCAGGTTCCTCAAGTGTTTCAGTTTCAAGCAGGAGGAGATTCTCACGTCTGATGAGCTGAGAAATGTTCTTATCCAAGCAGAACTATGCAAACTAACAGATAATTGAAGTAGAGAGTAGCGGCAGGGGGCCAAAACCCAGGATCCATCTACTCCCTGCCCCTCTCTGCCTTTTTCAATCCATTCACTTAAAACAGGGACTATCAAGTTTAAGCAGCTCCCAATTGACTCATTATGGTGGCTAGTACTGCAATATGAAACAGGTGAGTGGTGGAAAAATTACACCTCATTACTCTACTGCATAGTGACAAAAATCTAGTCTCATGGTGAATGAGTTCTGGAACTGAGCTTGTGAGGTAGGTTCATAGGTTGTCTTATAAGATCAGGTTCTTTCTAATAGTCCGTTAATCACTGGTGTGGCCAGCACTTGGGTCCTGAACCTACAAGGACCAGAGTGTTTTGTTTTTAAACTGCCAACTTTAAAATTCTCTTCACCAGGGGAGCTTTTTGCCCTGCCACTTACCCATGTTTCTGGCTCTACTGACAAAAGCCAGTGTGCAGTACACAAAACTCTTTTAAGAAAGCTAGCAGCAAATTAAGTCCTTAGAAAGCAATCATCTATATTTAGGAGAGCCTTCAATATCCTGTTCTTACCCTGGTTAAGAACCTCATACTCTAAAATAATACTATATTTTCTAGCATGCAACACACACCGTTTCCCCCAAAATCAGCCCCCTAAAATTTGGGTGCATGTATTAAGCAGGGTAAGCTGATTTTATGAGTAAGATAGAAGAAATCTGCTTTGATTCCCACTCCACAGTGCAGCAATTGTTGCATCACAAGCAGCTGAAGGAGTCAGTTGACATAACGGCTCATTATTCTTCACTCCAGAGATGTTAACTGTTGTCTCTCCTTTTTAATGCTTTTTGATGTTTAAGCTAACCATTCTTAGGGCAATTTTGCTGCCTGCCAGCTGCTCCTGGTCTCTTTCCTTTTATTTCACAGCCTTGGAGACTCTTTAGCTATTTCCAGAATCTTAGATCCACCCATGGGGACCAGTCTTCAGCAACAGCTAAGGTTTCAGCTTTAGTAAACAAGAAAAAGAGTGAATTAGCTCTATCCTTGCTCTATGTAGCTATGCCTAGAAAAATCTTGGTTTTCTTTATAATGCCTTTCAAAAACACTGTGTGTATTATATTCCCGGGTTTATTATATGCAAGCAAATACAGTTATTTGCGTTCAATAAATGTAACAGATATCCTCAACTGGGCAGAGAAGGCTGCCATGTTTCTCAAAGACTTCCAGTTCACTCCATTCACTAGCAGTGGGTTAGAAGAAAAAAATAAGCTAAGCTACTTACTTTTTGCGTTGTTGGATTCCTGATACTATGAGGAAAATAATTCCTGCCACGATGAGGCAAAAGACAACACCAAATACAACAAGCCAGATAGGTACAGAGGGTTCAGTGGGTGGTGATAAGGTTGAGGAAATCTTCAAGAACTGCATTGTTCTGTCATTCAGTAAGAAGGCATTATTGATCCTGTTTCTGGTCATCCTTTAAAAAATACAAACCACAGTATAAAATATAAACATATATATCAATGACAGTGGGAAACAAAGGAGCCCTAGTAGAATCAGTACAACTGCAGCAGGGGTGAATGTATCCCACTGTGAGGATTATTAGGATCTCCATTTTAACAATCCATAGGCACTGTCAATCTATATCTTCAGGGACTTAGCCATAAGGCTTCCATATGTAACTCTCTGAAAGCTTAGGGTACAGGGCTGAGATTTCATATATTATTTATTGCTTATTATTTATGTATATATTTACAACCTTGGGCAGGGGGCCCCCTATGAAATGGAACGTGATTTTAAAAAATGTAACATTCACTAAAATATCATAGCTTGGAGGTGTTAAAAATTACTATAACAAAAGTAACTTTGCCCTTGAGCTGGGGTGATTCTTAATTCCATACACCAAACAGCTTTTCAGCTAAGTAACAATACTTAATACTTGCATGGTGCAGTGGTTTTAATCTGCAAAACTCTGAATGACTTCACTGGGAGCAGGACCAGACCTCTGCTAACTGATGCTCCCACAAGTCTGGTGTGATACCTAAGTGGTGTAAGGAATTACTACTACCTGAGGGCCACAGAGAGAGTCAGCATCAAAGATGGGATGGAATACAAGAACTCCTGGCTTCCAGCCCTGCAGCTATGTAGCACTCAAATAGCATGCACCCAATTTGCATTGGGCTCTTTCCTCCCACCTAATTTGATTTTGGGAGGCTGATCTGACCTCTTATTCACATTAACCCAGCGACAGAACTGCTCCAAATTATGCTTAATGCCACAGACCCTGCTGTCTGGGAATTACAAGACAGAAGAAGATTCCTGACACCCAGGAATATCCCTACTCAGAGAAAGGAAGTAGGTATAGGCCTAGCTGGAGTATGGTTTAATACAACCATTGATCAGTGCATATACAAAGCACACAGAGACCCTGCTAACAGTGTTAACTGAAGTAGGTCCAAATACATACAAAACGAGGCATTCCATACCATATACGGCCTGTACAGAAATGCTGGAAAAGTTGCTCATTAGTTTTAGAGGTGCCTCCAAGGACCAGATGGAGAATAAACTGATACCATCAATACAGAACACCAAAACAAAGATAAGAGGGATGTGACAAACAGGTATCCTTATCTAGAGTGGGAAAGGCACTCTAATTGCAGAGAAGTTGGATATGGATAGTAATTGCTGGGTACATCTACATTAGATGCTTTACTGCTCAGTAGAGCTAATTACCGCACAGTAAGTGGCTGTGTCTACACTTGCCGATGCTTACTGCACAGTAATTGACTCTAATAGCTAGTAAATTTGCTACCTACAAATGCAAGTAGTAAATTTTCTCAAGATTACTTACTGGCTCAGTAGCACACATGTAGATGCTTGACAGGGAGTAAATGTGTTCCTGGTCAGCCAAGCAGCAGGGGCAGGAGATTGATCCCTACCCCCAGGAGCTGCTTGCAGCCAGGACAGGCTCTACCACCAGAGTCCGGGCAGAGCCAGTGTCCCCTTGCCCCGGCCGCAAGGAGCTCCCAGGCCCCACACTGAGATTGTGGGGCCAGGGCTGGAAGATCCTTATTGCCCAGCTCAACTCCTGTGGTCACGGGGCCAGGGTTGGGAGAACCTTATCTCCCAGCCTAAGCCCCACAGAGCTGGTGCTGGGAGAGAAGGATCTTCCAGCTTGGGCCCTGCAATCATGGGACTCAGGCTGGGAGAGAAGTATCTTCCAGTGCCAGCCCTGCAACCACTGGTATCACCTAACCCCCAAACCACACTAATGGAATTAGATAACAACATGGACCCTGACCACACTGACAACCTGAGCACACTGGTGACATCCTGGAGACACAGAATAGGTTCATTACCTATTTTCCTTCAAACTAAACAGTGTCTTGAAGGCTGTGCACTATGATCTGTTCATTATTAGATGTTTTTAAGTTAAATTGTGCCACTAATAATAATATAGTCCATCCAAACTCAATATTAATTTCTTCATTAAACTATAGAATTTTACAGTTTAAACATTTCTTCCCCTGTGAAAGGTTTTAACAGTCTAAGAAAAGTTCCTTGTATTTAACTTGAAGACAAAACCTAAGGAACTTAGAATCATAGAAAATTAGAGTTAGAAGGGACCTCAGGAGGTCAGTTAGTCCAACCTCCTGACCATCCCCAACTAGATCACCCCAGCCGTGGTTTGTTGTGCTGGGCCTTAAAAACTTCCAAGGATGGAGATTCCACCACATCTCTACATAACCAATTCCAGTGCTTTCCCACCCTTCTACTGAAAGTTTTTCCTAATGTTCAACCTAAACTTCCCTTGCTGCAACTTGAGACCACTGCTCCTTATTGGGCGTGTCTACCTGTGTCACTATGGATGTTGTTAGTGTGCCAAGATTAAGTACTTCCTTTTGGAAGTATCCGCTGGTCTTCCTGCATCTACAGAGCCATTCATTTCATTATAGAGAGCAATCAGGTTCGTCAGGCATGACTTGCCCTTGGTGAATCCATGCTGATTGTTCCTAATCACCTTCTTCTCTTCCAAGTGCTCAGAAATGGATTCCTTGATGACCTGCTCCATGATTTTTCCAGGGACTGAGATAAGGCTGACGGGTCTGTCATTCTCCAGATTCTCCTTCTTCCCGTTCTTAAAGATGGGCCTCATATTTGCCCTTTTCCAATCATCCGAGACCTCTCCCAATTACCATGAGTTTTCAAACATGATGGCCAGCAGCTTAGCAATCACATCAGCCAACTCCCTCAGAACCCTCAGGTGCATCTCACTCAGCCCCATGGACTTGTGCACATTCAGCTTTTCTAAATAGGCCCTAACCTGTTCTTTTGCCACTGTTGGCTGCTCACCTCCTCCCCAAACTGTGCTACTGGGAGCAGTAGTCTAAGAGCTGACCTTGCCTGTGACGACTGAAATGAAAAAGTCATTGAGTACATCAGCCTTTTTGTCATCCTCTGCCACTAGGTTGCCTCTCCCATTTAGTAAAGGACCCACACTTTCCCTGATCCTCTTCTTGCTGCTGAAATATTTGTGGAAACCCTTCTTGTTACCCTTCACATCCCTTGCTAGCTGCAACTCCAGCTGCTCTTTGGCCTTCCTGATTTCATCCCTGCATGCCCAAGCAATATTCCTCCCTAGCTTTTTGTCCAAGCTTCCACTTCTTATAAGCTTCCTTTCTGTGTTTTAGCTTACTGAAGAGTTTCCTCCTAAGCCAAGGTGGTCTTCTGACATTCTTGCTAGTATCCCTGCACGTTAGGGTGGTTTGTTCCTGCACTCTCAGTAAGGTTTCTTTAAAGTACAACCAACTCTCTTGGACTCCTCTCCCTCTCAGACTGGTCACCCAAGAGACCCTACCCATGAGTTCCCTGAGTGAGTCAAAGTCTGCTTTTATGAAGTCCAGAGTCCATACTCTGCTCTTCTCCTTCTTCCTCCTTCCATGCTTAAAACGTGTCAGTTCCAAGCATGGGAGGAATTATATAGTTAAATTCTTTATTTTAGAAAATGTATTTTCTAAAATGTATCTTTAAGGCAAGTTAGTCTTCTTTGTAATACTTTCTTGTATACCAACTTGTGGGAATATTTCAAATTGCTATTTTTTTTATAATAGAGCAAGTGTTTATCAGGAATAAATATGTATATATGGACCTGTTAAATGTGTGTGGCTTTTTTTGGAAATTGTAAGATCTCTTAAGTCATAATATTGCCTATTCCCTAAACACTGAGTTCTTGAATGTTTCTGGAAAGTGAGGATTTCCCCTTTAGTTGAGAACCATATGTTATACAATATATCAGGTGGTGAAATTTGATGACAAATTTTCTGCCTGGCTGGTATTAATTGATGGTCATGGGCAGACCTCAACATGAAGTTATTGATCATGAATCACACTATTATGTGCTTAGGTGTATACAGGCAAATATCTGTGCATGTATGTTGCATATGTGAAGATAGGTATAATATTTAAGCTTATAACTCATCATGTGATTCTTACTGTAGTTAAGATAGCTCAGAGGGACCATTATTTTCTGTGTTCTTTGTTTGTACAGTATCTGATAGTATGGTAACCTGGTATGCAACTAAATTTTGTAGGTGTGAATGTAATATATACAATAAATAGGAAGAAGAAGAATTAGATCTGGAATCCTGTAAGCAAAGAAGTTGCCTGTTGGAATACTCAGTCCAGGGAGCATTTTATTTTTTGTCTCAATTTAGTGGTAAAAATGTAAACCATTTTTTAAATGTTATATTTTTATTTATTTGATGAGAGACAACAGTTAAAATCTAAGAGGCCATAATACAATGCAATTTTGGTGACAAACAGTGAATATTAAAGACTTAAAATAAATCAGCTTATGCAACTGGTTGTTTCAAGAATAACAGAAATTAATGCATTCAAAAGTGCATTCCAGCACTCTTAGAAAACTTCAGTGAATAAATAATCTTCTTGCGCCACTAATGTAATGAAGTTGTTTGGTATCTCTGTAGGAAATAGCTTAATCTGCTCATAAGCTTAAAAATTAATCTTTCCCAAAGAATGCATACTCATTCATCGGGAATTAGGTATTACACCTCTATAAAGATAACATGAGATTTAAAGACAAAGTACAGCAAGTTTAAAAACAAAGAGATCTATTATTGCAGAAACATGTGGGGGTAACTCTGCTTCTGAGAGTCACCCTTGTAAAGTCCTTAAGCAGACAGCAGACTGCTGAGGCCAAATAACCTGTTTTTCCCCTCTAATTATGCAGCCTCACAATATTATTGTACTGGTTGCAGAACATAATATTTAATAAGAAAACAGAACAACTTGTACAAACAGTGCTCAGCTATGACAGGGATAGGTTTCCTAGAAAGATCTGAAGTAAAAAAAATGTGAGTACCAGTAAGATATGCAGCTAGGTGTTCTTGGGCTGACTGCAGTGTGAACATCCGGTATTGAAAGAATGAGCCTTTTTCATAAAAGTACAAAATCCCCTGAAGAAGACCCTTAGCTGACTCTGAGTAAGTTGGCTGAGGCAGATGTGAAGCACATGGCCAACACTGGTTTATATGTAGACCTCTGTGAAGTGTTTAGATTTCTGAGAATCCACTATATTTTTAAAGGCTATTTTCAAAGGCTCACACATTTCAAGAGTGCTAAGAGGCTGCTCCCTTCATACAGATAAAAGTCCTTTTCATCTCATATGCACAAAGGAAAAATAGTATCAACCCCATGGTATGATTAAAACCTACAATATTTAATGATAAATTCATATAATTGATTCATATAATAAATTGATTTATATCATTAAAAGGTAAAAACTATTAGTTCATATGCTATAAGATATACAGATCCTCATTAATTGGGCCTTTGATTAGAATGGGAGAGTAATATGGAGAAATTATTATACCTTATGGCTGCCTCAACCTCGCCTCTGGGAACAGTTGTTGCATTTTTGGATGAGTCCGTGACCACAAACCAAAACGACACTCGATCCGTTACATTACAAAGTAACACATTGGAAATTCTGTTTTTTAAAAAAAAGCAGGGTAAAACATAAGTACAAAGTGAAAGCAGATTTTGAGGCTGCCAATGTATCACTGTGTTTCACAAGGCTTTTGGAAAAGGAAATGTCTAGCCTCTGTAAATTTGACTAAGAAAAAGGCTGGTCATAGCTACACCCCATCGCTTCCTCCTTTTCAACACACATGCTATAACAATAGTAACAAAAAAATGACAAAAAGGTTAGGTTTATTGATGATTCATTTTCCTTAACTTTCTGGTCATTTGATCAGCTTCATCCAATCCCTGTGAGATCTCCTACCACAAGTTTGTCAGGCCCCACACGTACATTTGATAGAGTGACATTAAAACAATGCATTTTGTTGGTCCTTCCTAGTGGTTAAGAGCTAGAACTAATGTACACTGTAAGGTAGTATACATCCTTCCCTGTTCCACCATAGCTCCTTATCCATACCGTAGCTGGAAACAGAGGAGATTATACTTCCATTTGGAATGCATGGACCTCTATCGGCAAGTGCAGCATCAGTGCACTTAGCTGCCATGGCCACGCTTACGTTTCAGTCAGTGTTACTCATCTTGCTTTTGGTCTGTATTGCTCTGTTGCTTCCCCACTCAGTGCAAAAGTGGTTGTGGAAGCTTCGTCTGACTCCAGCCTACTTCACAGATTGTCCATCTTGAAGCAATTGGCTATGGTTTATGCCAAGAAAAGCTGAAACTTAGCTCCCCTCTCCTTTTGTGGAGGTAGTGGGCTAAGTTTACTGAGGATTGTTAAGCTTCACATCATTTACATCATAAGCCATATTTAACTGTAGAAATCAGACACGTTTTACTTTTATGTGAAGCAAATATTGTAAATGGTGTATTATATCAGATTATCATTATTTTCTGTGTAAAACTGGGTACATCTGCACCAGCTGTTTACTGTAGAGCTAACTAATTAGCTCCACAGTAAACATCTCAGCATCTACATGTGTGGTCCTATTAAGCTGTAGTAAACTAATAAACTCCAGGTCAGGTTAGTACTTGCAAATACAAGTACTATCCTGTGGTGGAGTTTTTTAGTACACAGAAACACATGTGTAGATGCTGCCACAGCTGACTGAGGCACAAGGGTACTTCAGTGGAGGGGCTCCCTGCCAGCTGGCCCTACATTATAGCAACCTCATGCCCCAGCCGGCTGCTTTACAGCACTCTGAGCCAGGTAAGAGCAGCCCTGGACTGGAAGGCTGACCCCCCCGACCCTCCCCCACCCCAGATCCCCTGCCAGCTGGGCTGCTCTGACTTCACTCAACGTGCTGTGATCCTGGGTGCACGTTCAAACATGGTGCTCGGATATGTGCTAGAATTTATTGCTGTGTATTAATAGCATGTGTAGATGCACCGCCTGAGTATGAACATGTCTTTAAAGATATTTTTATAATCTCATACATGTACATGTTTATTGCTAAAAAAATTATTTAAAACAATTAAATGACCATTAGAGATACATGAAGGAATAAAATCCCTGCAGAAATGTAAATGGGTAGCTCAGCTGTTTTTATATTCTAAAATAAAATGCTGGCCCAAGATTGCTAAGATAACCATATGTGGGCACCTGTGTAAACTCCTATTTAAGCCAGTGACACTTACCACTCAACAGTAAGAGCCAGTTTTGCTCTCACTAAATTTCTTCACCTTGGCTAACACTTGCAGTGAGTGACTTCATCCCCATGTAAGGCTCCTGGCACAAATGAAAGCTGCCCTGCCCTGGTAAATGGCTTCCTTTGGCAGGACAGCAGTGTCAATACCACCAGGCTTCACCTGGAGTATATCCCACCAGGCATGCAGGGCAGTTGTGTTTACTTAGCAGCGGCCATGTGTGTGATGCCTACAATCAATAATGCCAAAGGTCCATGTGGGCCTGGCAAACCCATAGAGCCACCATGGTTAAAGAACACCGCTTTCTGTAGCCAACGCAGACAAAGGAGTGATGAGCTTTCCTACCACTCCCAATTCAACTTGCTCCTGGGTCCCCTGGGAGCAGCTTTTGCCACAAGTCCAGAAAGTGGGTTGAATTCACTCTTTGAGAGCTGTAGCAAAACATGGTAGCCACTCTGCCACCATGTCCCCCTGATAACGACACTGCCTAATATTAATTAATGTCACTGACTTCCTTTACTTCTTATAGGTCAGCTTATTCTTCTTAACATGTAAGTTGTACTATATCTTCCTTCTGTTTTTCCAGTGAATGTACATCAGCCCTTCTGCAAACAGCTGTCCACCAGAGAGTTCATTTCATTAGTGACATCTGCTGGCTGATCAGAAACATAATGAAATTATGTTATAGATACTAGGGCTGTGCGAGGCTTTGGACCACGCTTTGGATCCAGAGAAGCTTTGGATGCTTTCGTGTCCAAAGCAGCATGTCCGGATTGAAGCATTGGCTTCGTTAGGCTTTCCAAAGTGGTTCAGACCTTCCAAACCGCTTCGGAAAAGCTTCGGAGCCAACTCGGAGATCTGGCCATAGGGTATAATGGGGAATCAATGAAATATCTATAACTTTGTTTTTTGTCTTATTTGGATGACACTTGCAGAGATGGTAGCCTCTGTCAAAAGCATGAAGCCTGCCATGTTTCAAGAAGATAGGCGCAGGGGTTTGGGGGAAACTACACCCCAAATTCTTGAAAGCAAAACTCATGTCACGTGTATGTGTTACACCACAGGGGGCGAAAACTGCAGGGATGGTAGCTCCTGATGAGGCCACAAAGCCTGCCAGGTTTCAAGAAGATGGGTGCAGAGGTTTGGGGGGAACTGCACCTCAAGCTGCAGACAAGCAAAACTCGTGCCATGGGTGCTTGTGGGACTGACTGTGTCTGTATTGATTGTCTGTATTGATTATTTCCTCTCCTTAGTCTGTGGTTTTGTAGGTGTTAATCCTTGCTAATTAACTCATTAACATTAATGAGTTAATTAGCAAGGATTAACACCTGCAAAACCACAGACTTTTGAAAAACAACAAAGTTATAGATATTTCATTGATTCCCCATTATAACCTATGGCCGGATCTCCAAGGCAGCTCGGAAGCTCTGGAGCTGCTTCGGATGGATCAAAGCGGGAAACTGATCCAGAGCTCCAGATTGGATCACTGGCATCCGAAGCAGCTGGATCCGAAGCCATATCGAATAGCTGCCTACTCGCACAAGCCTAATAGAGACCTCTGTGGAGCTTGCCTGACTTTAGAACAGGAGTGGGCAATTATTTGGGATGGAGGGAGTTTTGGTGAGTTGCTGTGGGCTGGGTCAACACCCCCCCCCAGCTTCTTCTGCAACAGGTCACCAAAACTCCTTGAACCTTGAGCTGTCACTGCCCAGTGCTCCTGCACCCAGCCCTAGGATCTCCATGGAAACAGACCTGGGATCCATGCAGGTAGGGTGCACTAGGCTGGGTGGATGGAATGGGGTTGAGGGCAGGTGGGGAGCAATATCTGGGACTGGGACAGGAGGATGGGGCTGGTACCAGGACCGGGACAGGGATTGAAGGGTGATGACAGCAGAGACAGGGCTTGGGGCAAAGCCATGATCCTCTCCCAGCAAGCCTCTGCTTGTGGAATGGGAGCCCATTGCAAGGACATATGGGCAGCAAATAGTAGCTTTGCTCCAGGCCTGCCCACCAATCCCAGTCCTGCCACTCCCTACCTGCTTGTGGCCCAGTCCCGTTGACTCAGCCAAGTGCACCTTGCCAAAGTGGTTCCTGATCCAGTCTCCATAGAGACCCCACCCACCTGCTCCATGCAGTGCCCCTGGTGGTGTGTACATGGCAGACAGGCCGGGGTGCCTGGCAGTGGGGCTGAGTCCAGTGGTGGCTATGATATTAGCAGTGGCAGCCAGAAGGAGCCACTGCTACCTGGGCTGCTGGGAAGTGGAGTCTGGTGCCATGCTGCCCTAGTCCTGCTGCACACCTGAAGGTGGTGGGACCAGCTGCATGCAGCACAGCTTGGGCTGCCGTATTTTGCCCACCCCTGCTTTAGAACAACAGCACAAGACCGGAGATTGGGTAAAGAAATAAGTACAGTCTTGAAGTTGTCTTTGGTCACCTCTGTGACACCATCAACTTTTCTATGGCAGCACAAAGTGAAAGCAAACAAACATCCCTACTTTTTGTTGCACCACAAATGCCCAAATTTGTGGTCACAAAAAAAGGTAGTAATAATTTGTGTTGCTTTATTGTGGAGGACATCTATTTACTTATGGTGGAAAAGTGTGAGCAATCTGAAGCTTTCTGTACTCTAGTGCCCTTTCTACAGGCTTGAGAGACCTGATCGTGGCATCCCAGGAATTGCCAGGCAGAACTGGGCCTCTCAAGCCCAAAGTTTTTTCTGTTTGAAGTTTAACACATTCTTTCTGCATTCTTTCTGTTAGCCACACAACATGACTGCATGGTATGAATTATCACACAAGTGGAAATAGGAAATACCATCTAAAAGAAAAGCTTTATGTGATATCCATGTTCTGACAGGATTTACAGACTGGCACTTATTTTCTCTCAGTCCATCTTGTCGTTTACCAAGTCTCCTCTGAATTAGCACAAACAACAGCATTATTTATGTCAAAGGATTTATCCCACTCTGATTTTGTTGATGAAAAGAGGCAATGAAGCACCTACTCAACTTTCCTCATTTACTGAGACACAACCTTGGGATCTCCAAGGGCACATCTGGGTAAGCAGGGAAAGACAGTTTCCCTGTGTACCCAGATACACCTTGAGGATCTCTGAGGATGTATCTGGGTAAGGATGAAAGTCAGGGTTTCCATGCTTACCCATATGCATCTCAAACATGGGGATCCCGGGGCCATGTCTGGGTAAGTGGGGAAACTGCTGACACATGCTTCACTGGAGGCATGAGTATGCACAGGTCCTGGTGTGGAGGCACAGGGCACCAGGGGATTTCATGGCTGCCACACCACCCTGCACTGACCTGTGTGAAGCATGAAGTGGGGTGAGTCCCAGCATGGAAGCACAGGAGCA